GGTAATTCTGCCTGTCTACTCCACTCTTGTGAGGCCCCACCTGGAGTACTGTGTCCAGCTCTGAGCCCCCCTGTTGGAACTCAGGGCATGGGGAATATTTCCCTGGTTGTCCTGCCAGGTCCTGATTCCCAGGAAAACACTGCTTTTAACCTTCATCCATGGAGAGGGCTTCCAAGACTTTGGGATGAATCAGAATCTAAGAGAGTGTGAAGTAGGCTCCTTCTTCATCTACTCCATTTTCTCCAGTGTTGGTAGCACAGAGTGATTGGTTAGAAAGAGCTACAATGCAGGTGCTGTGTAGCGGACAAATAATTAGATATTGGTAGAAAAGTAGAAATAAAGTACATTTTAGGAGTTAATTGGATGAAACAGCTTTAAAAGACCTTGAAACTATGCATCTTGTGACCTTTTTTGCTGTCTTCTCTGTGTGTGTTAAGTCTGGTGCAGACGGCGCGCAGAACTTCTGATAAGAGAAAAATAAACAGCAACCTGAAGACTGAAAAAAGTCCAGTTTGTCTCTCAATCCTGGCACAGAACATTTATTAAGGGGTCTCTCATGCAGGGGGCCCCAGAGGGGTCTCCCACACCCCCCAAAACAGGAAGGACATTGGCCTGGTGGAGCAAGTCCAGAGGAGGGCCACCAAGATAATGAGAGGGATGGAGCACTTCTATGAAGAAAGGCTGAGAGAATTGGGATTGTTCAGCCTGGAAAAGAGAAGGCTTTAAGGAGACCTTAGAGCAGCCTTCCAGTACCTACAGGGGACTTAGAAGGAGGCTGGAGAGGGACTTTTCACAAAGGCATGTAATGACAGGACAAGGGTGAATGGCTTTAAACTGAAGGAGGGTAGGTTTAAATTAGATATTAGAAAGAAATTGTTTGCTGTGAGGGTGGTGAGACACTGGAACAGTTTGCCCAGAGAGATTGTAGACTTTCCCATCCCTAGAGGTGGATGGAGGTCTGGACAACCTGGTCTAATAGGTGTCCCTGCCCATGGCAGGGGAGTTAGAACTAGATTATCTTTAAGCTCCCATTCAATTCAAACCATTCTAGGATTCCATGATTCTATGAACATTTTTCTTAGTGTAAGCTTCCTCGTATAGAAGAACTCTACTTACACATACATTGCCTGTCTTAATTAATTACACTTTATAATCCATTAACGTTTAAAAGTTAATTGTAGATAAAGATCACAAGTTGCACTGATGCTATTAGGCATCTACATTATTAAGATGATTATTTTGTAGTCTTGTTTGGGACTGTATGAAAATAGATTTTTGTAATAAGTTTCATTTCAGTAATGTTTTATTGATGGTATTCTTGGGAAACCAAAGTCCTCACTGGGTACACAACAAAAGAATACTTCTTTCCAGGAACCAGCTGGACTATCACCCTGTAATGGAATGCCTCAAGGGGAATGGGATACCTGCAAAATGGAAGGCTTTGAAGACACATGGAAACTGGCAAGTGAGGATAAAGCTAGCGAAATCTGATTGCACACAACCTTGAAGCACATCAGAGTGGTTTCAAATGTAGTTTAACCTTTTATTCATTGTCTGTTCTGATCTTTGTGGAGAGGGAAAGACATTTGCAAACACACCTTACAAGTGACACAAGTATTTTTCCATCAGAAAAAATATATTCTGAAACAAGCTTAGATCAGCACAGAACACAAGAACATACTATCAAAAATGTGAAAGTATTTTTTTTAACTCTACATGGTACATTAGGACTTCAGCTAAAATATTTGACATAGCCCACATTCTCCAGTTCTTGATGCTACACATTAAAAATCCCATAATAATATGGAGTAGACCTAGTGTCAAATCTGTAAGAGAGCAACAAAAAACCAGATCTCTAGAAAACATGATGTACAAAGAAAGGCTGAGAGAACTATGCTAATTTTGACAAAAGATGATGGCAAATGGGCATAAATCTATCTCCATAACAACAGTGGACAGAACAGGGAATATAAATCATAGGAAGGGAAAAATTAAATTATATAATGGAAACACTTTCTAAGGATAAAGATGACAACATACTAGAACAGACTTAGGGGGAGTTTATGAAGTGTCCATCCTTTTGGAGGTTCTCAGGAACAAGCAAAACAAACATCAACAGACTGTTATATGTACTATTGATTGTATCCTTAGACAGAAAATAGCTGGAAATCAGACTTTTCAGCCAAAAAATATTTGGTGTCAGATAGCAGTCAAGAGACATTTCTGTAGTAACAGCAAAAAAAGATCGAAAAAGTAGTGCTTGATGTACAGACCCAGGTAAACTGCTGTTCTATCTGCAAGCAACTAGAACAGCAATTGTTGCAGTGTGATGCCATTTCCTGTTTCACCTATCCCAACCCCTCAGATGTGCCAACCTTTCCTTTCCCCTTTTGCCCTCCTGCTAAGAGCTGTCCATCAATCTTAACATTCCAGCAAGGGCGTCGTGTGGTTGGCAGAAGTTCAAAAGATGCCCCTCAGGTCCGGGCTCATTGGCCTGTCCATGCATCTATATCCCTTGAGCCTTCCCCTCCTCCCACCTGGTTGGTGCCTCACCTGTCCCTTCCCCTCCCCCTGTCCCCGGGGCTTAAAAGGACATGAGACCATGCGGTCGGGATTCTATTGGGAGCTGTTACCACATTCAGAGGTCTACCATCCTGCAATAAAGCTCTGGATTAAAACTCTACGATAGAATCCACTCCTTTCTCTTCACCGTTGCCTGAACCTTTTCCACCAGAGGTAAACTGAGTTCCTACTATGCCTGGATTTGTTCCGAGTGCCTAGCTGCAGCATCCAGGCGGCCAAAGGTATCTCTGAGGTGAAACACCACAGCTGCTGCCTTTGGTCCAGCAGCAAAGGTCAGACGAGGCCAGGCACGTCCCACCCGGAAATATTGGGATTAATATTCCATAAGCAATAGTTGCAAAAACAAGATAGTATAGAAAAGCTCCACTGGCAGCTGACAGAAGCCATTGTTAATTGTTTGCTGTAGTTCATAAAAACATGGGAGCAGTCAGTCAGTTAAAAAAAGAAAAGCTCTCCCCAGGGAAAACAAAATTGTGTAAAGAGAAAACCACATCAAGGAATCTGAAAACTCTGATTTCAGATACAAATAGAGAAAAGATGGATGTATTCACAGAATAGGGATAGAATCAGAGATAAAGAGCATTTAGATCTAAAGCAGGCAAGTTTCCTCAGATGCATACAGACCAAGACTAAAGATATAAAAATTACTATCAACAAGAGCAACACCCAAAAAATGAAAATTCAATAAAAAGGTGTGTTCTTAGGGCTGCTAAAAAAGGAAGAGGAAAACGAACCTACTTTAGAAAGTGTCGATCAGGCAGATTTATCCAAACGTGATTATGTTCACTGACCCCTAGACTTAAAAAATCTAGGAAGTTCTGGAAGACGAAATAAAATGTAGGGTAGAGCAACAAGGAGAAGCAGGTTGGTTTGCTATGGTAATGAGTGCCTCCACTGAAGAAGCAAAGCCACTCTAATGATATATGATCCAAATCCCATAGAAAGAAAAATCACAAAGATTGAGTCAACATCCAGCCCTAAGGCACAAAGTTCTATACTCAGGTCTTTTTAATTTTTTTATTCTGAAATAGATTTTGTCTTTCTTTTCCTTTATTATGCCCTTTTCCATCTTTCCTTCCTGAGTAATCCCGTCAGAGAGTACAAAAGGTAAAGAAAGAAAAGAACAAGAGGACTCAGTTAAAAATCTCAGTCTACCTGGAAGAAAATCTGTCATCTTAGTATAAGAGCACACCTCGTATACATTTTGAAATACTATAATATCACTGCTTCCTTTATTTATTGCCATAAGTAGCAAAAAGAAAAACAGTATTAATATTCCAATTCTCACTGCCCAACTTCACCTCGTGTTTGAAACATATGGCACTTTTTAGAATTCAGTCAGGCAAATGGCCAGAATTAGTAACTATCCTAGAATTTTGGAGTACTTGATCTTAGATTTCATATAAAACTTAAATATCTGTGAGATTTATGAGTGATTAGTCCCACCTTCTACAGTGAATCCAGTTGTTTAAAGATTAATAATCCAACAATGACTATAAAAAGCTGTGGATTACTATGAAGTGGAATTCACTTGTTTCAATGCTGACTGCTCATTTTATGTTTTTCAATGACATGGTTCAGTCACAGTAATAAGATTACCAGATTAACAGGCAAAATTATGCAGATTTGAAAAAAAATACAGAAGAGTTTTAAAATTCACATCCCCTTAATTATGATAAAAATATGTTAATCTCATCAAAGCACCTAAATCTTTGGAATTTCATCAGTCTCAGAGTATTTATTAGGTGCTCATCACACTGGACAAGGCAGAAGAGACAAATGTCATGGCATTTGTACATTTGGTTCATTCAGCATTTCTCCAGTCAAAACATAGCACCTGAATGAGAGCATAATGAACCCTACAAAGACTGTAGAGCATTTTTGGTGTACAAAGGACAGTTGTAATATGGACTGATTTTTCAGCTAATTTAATTTACACTATTTTTTAAAACAGACTAAAATTATATTGTCTCCACTATAAACTAAAAAGATTTTAAACCATATAAAACTGTTATTATAAAGCAAATGGATATTACACTTCTTAAACTCAGTCTATTAACACTGATTGTGAATTATACTTTTTAATATATAAGCTGATTTTTAAAACAATAAAATTATTTCTAGATTAATAAATGGTCAAAGCTCATTTTACAAAAACAGGGATATTTAAAACAGAAAACTGCACTATACCATAACCAATCTGCATTGGGTAATCCTCTTCCTTTTTTCCTATGGAAATTTCTATGAAATAATCAAATACATTTAAAACTGAAGCTAACAAAAAGATTTCATTTCAACATTTGACTTCTGAATTTTAAAAAAATTCTCATTACAGATATTGCAAAAGCAAGAGTAGCAAGTATGTATCATCAAGTTCAAATATGCACTTTGCCTTTTCTTTAAATGAAAATACTTACACATCCACAAATAGTACATAATCTTTACTGTCTTCTGGAATTCTACAGGAATGTCTACAGAAAAGTCCTGGTAGAAACACGGACCTACTGGAAAATTCTCAGGAAGAGGTGGCCAGTTATTTTTTCTACCTGCAAATCAGAAAGAAAAAAAAGGTTATTTATAATAAAGTTTAATCTCTGTATACCAGAAAGAGATGCATTTGGACTTGTTCAAATTGTTTTATACATAAATTTCACAAGTGTATAGATAACTTGGGCTACCAAAACCCCAAAGTTTTATTAGCAATCCTCACACAATACTAAAAATAAACTTCAGAAATAAAATACAATGAAGTACAAGACAGATCAAGGAAAGTACAATATTTTATCTATGTAAAAGACTAATCAGGCATCTGACAGTTCCTATAAAGTCATGAGAAAAGAGAATTCTTCACAAAACAATTTCTCAGAGTTCCTTGAGTTTTAAATGCGCATTTCTTTAAGTCCCACCATACTCTCATACTTTGTAGAACACAAAGACTGGGGACTGAAAAACATTCTTCATTCTCAGAATGCTGATATTTGTAATACCTGGATGTCTCTAACACTTTGAACCAGTTTCTAATACACTTTACAGTCAAAGCTTTACTTAAAAGCCCATAAGCCTGAAGAAAAGCAGCTATTTAAATGGTGTAAACTACTTCTTTTTGTTACAAGAAGATTCCCTACAGCATCAATATATTTTGATATAGTTGTGTGACAGAGTGAGGATACCACAAAGGTCAACACAATATCAGACACTTGGATTTCCTGTATGCTAATCTGCTCACAGACTAGAGTATACATTCTGCAGAACACAAATAAATACAAGCATAGACTCAGAGATTCAACTGAGATAACTACAAAAAACCTTTACCATAGCATTTCAAATTCTGTGTGCAAGAGATACAATAATTACGATATTAAAAAAGTGGAGCTGAATTAGAGACTAACCTAAACAAAGCTTTATTTAAAATTCTGACTAGGTTTTGCTTGCAATTGCTATCTTCAATCATGCCTTTACTAGCAGTTTATCTGTATTGGGTGGGGCTGAGCTGGAGTTCATTTTCCCATAGCAGCCCTCCCAGTGCTGTGCTTTGCATTGGGAACTGGAAATGTGTTGAGAACACACTTGTGTTTTGGTTACTGCTGGCACAGTATCAGCGCTGTCTCTCCAATATTCTTCCCCCAGTCAGTAGGCTGGGGGGTGGGCAAGATCCTGGCCGGGGAAACAACCAGGCCAGCTGATCCAAAATAACCAAAGGGATATTCCATACCATATGAGATCATCTCAGATATAAAAGCTAAGGAAAGGAAGAGGAAGATGGGGTATTTGTTGTTTGCAGTGTTTGCCTTCTGGAGCAACTGCTATGCATGCTGAAGTCCTGCTTCCTGGGAAGTGGCTGAACATCGTTCACTGATGGGAAGTAGAGAATTAACCTCTTTTTTTTTTCACTTTGCTTGTGCACATGCAAACTTGTGCTTTTGCTTTAGTAAAAATACTTATTTCAACGTACAAGTTGTTTTCCATCTTATTTTCTCTCCCCTATCCAGTTGGGGAGTGGTAGAGCAGTTTGGTGGGCACCTGGCAGCCAGCCAAGGTCAACCCACCACATAAGAACAGAAAACTTGCAAAAATTACACACTTGCATTATTTCTTTTGTCATTCAGAAAAGATGAAGCTGGTAGTTCTGTCCAAACAGGTACAAGGCACTAATTATCTGTTAAATTTTCTGCCACTTCCACTGACCATTTGTGGTGGTTCTATATGGCTTGTTTTTTGGTGAGGAGGGAGGAAGCTAGCCACAGAAGTGATTTTCTGTGAGAAGCTGCTGGGGACTTCCTCCATGCCTGACAGAACTAGTCGCTGGCTGGCTCTGAGTGAAATGGAGGTTTTTGGAGTTCACTTGAGTTAGCAATATGAATTAAGCATTTAAATTTTAGGTTGTAGAATTATGTGTTGAATTTTAGCCTTTTACTTAAGAAACCTGTGGGAACTCAGCACATCACTCCGGATGTCCAGAGTTACTGAGAGAACCCTTGGGGGGGGGGGGGGGGGGGGGGGGCTTGGAAATCCTGGAATGTTGCCAGGAGTGTCTGGTGGCTTGATTTTGATCCTTCTAAGGAAGTGACACCTGTTTGAGGACGTGAGAATCGCTTGGGAGTGAAGGGTGGAAGACACATTTATAGGGTGAAATATAGATTTTGGGGTTTTTGGTACAGGGGGGTTATGGAGACAAGATGGAGGGATCAGGGCATGTCTCGTCCTTCTTCTTTCTTCTTCTTGTCTTCCATTTTCTGTGGTGATGTTGGCACTTGGGGATTAGTTCATGGTAAAGGTGCACTTGCTAATGTGGGTGAAAGGTATTGGGAAATAAAGGTAAATATCATGTACGTAGTTTTTAGTATAAAAAGACACGACCGCCCCGTGGGTGGTCAGAGTGCCTTTGGCTGCCTTGCAGGTCAGACCTCTGTTGGGCAGACAGAAAATTCTGTAGATAAGAAATAATAAACAATCTGAAGATCGAAAAACCGAAGAGTCCAGACTTGTCTTTTGAAGCGCGGGCCGCCCAAGAACCACCATACCCGTGTCCGGGCAGAGACAGACAGCCGAACCGGACAGAAACCTCTGCCATAGTACAAAGGACATAGGAAAATGCAAATTTCTGAAGCTTCTTGCATAAAGAACAAAACCGGGGGAAGACCAAGGAATGCAAGAATCCCAGATAAAGAGGCTCCTCTGTCTCCAAGCTCATCAAGACTGAGACAGACGTACTCAGATAAGCACCAAGGGACCAAAGCGCGTGCATAAAGGAGAAAAGTTCAAAAGTTCAATCATGAGGAAGACCACAATCTTCGGCCTCAGAGACCACCAAAGACCCCCGTGCTAACACCACAGCAAGCAACGCATGCCCAGAAGGGTGTGGATCTAATTACCATGCGAGGCGAGGACAGGCAGGGCCAGGGGTTGAATATGTATGAAAAGGTTGTGTAATGTAATGCATATGGAACATCTTCATGAATAAAGATGTGGGTCAGACCAGGACTCAGGGCACAAGCTTTCATGAGAGCTATCTCGCTTGTGCCGGGCGCTGACATACATGAGATGAAGGACTACATTTTGTTTGTCACGAAAAAGAGACCAGTGTGTTACAAGAGTTGTCTGCTGACTATTTCTGTACTACTTCATGAGATATGAGCTACAAGGATAGCAGGGAAGGGGTTGCAGGAGCCCACACATAGTCCCACCCAGCAAATGGTACAAACAGATAACTCACAGAAATAACGACCAGGGAAAGGCTGGGGAAAGGACAGGGGCAGATTAACACCCAGCAGGGAAACCTTTCCCGCTGACAAATGGTACAAGCAGATAACTCACAGAGATAACGACCAGGGAAAAGCTGGGGAAGGGGCAGGGGCAGATAAACAGTCTGCAAGGCAGGATATTTGCTTGCTTAAGCTTGATAGGGCACAGTTTGCAAGGCAGGACATTTGCTTGCTTAAGCTTGATAGGGCACATATTGCGTTAATCATAAGATTTTGGTAATTTTCCACGGAGAAGTCACCAAATAAAGACATAGGGTGAAGAAGACGCAGCTGAGGAAGACTCCGCAGCCTTTTATCACCGACCACCAGGAGACAGAAGGATGACCCTCTAGCAACAACCAGCGCAGGCGCAGAGAACTCCGAGATAACATGGACTCCTGAAGGATGGAGAGGATAAAAGGACTGAATCAGAAACTAGTTGGTGCGGCAGTAGGTGGAGCAGAGACTCCCCTGTCGCCCAGCACTGAGCCTTTGCTTACGTAGTATAACTGCTTCAATAATTAATAAATTCTTTGATTGGAAATTGCTCGTTTTGAGTCAATTTTATAACAATTTGGTGCCGTGACTCGGATGAGAGTTTGGATCGGGTAAGATCTCCCCAGAGTGGGGGGCGCCTCATCCAGTGCTTTCCGGGTGGCCCCTCTGGGAGAACCTCCGCCACTCTCACCGACGACCCTAAAATATATACTAGTAAGCAAACGGGACAAATTATACCGGTGAACCCCTTAATAATCTGTGCACGGAGTCCGGACGAAGACGCAGGACGCGTAAGTATAAAAGGGAATCCGTTCGGGCGGGGTTGGGATCCCGGAGTGTGGCGGTGGACAAGTGTGAATGAGAGGAGGGCCGGCAGCCGGACTCTCCAAGTGAGTGCGGACCCTTGAGTAGTGCGGTTCCCGTAGACCCGCGAGGGCTCGGGCCACGAAAAAGGGGAAGTGAAAGGAATTTGAGAGTGAAAGAAGGCACTCCGGACGAATGGGGCAGGGGAAAAGCAAGACCCCAACCCAAGTCAAACTCCCCCCCATTCCAAGGGACAGTCCCCTAGGATTTATGCTTAGTAATTGGAAGCATTACCCGGGGACCGAGACTAAGGATAGGGCCAGAATGATACATTATTGCATGGAAGTATGGGGTGGGAAAGAGATTTCCAAAAAAGTTTTTTGGCCCGTGTTTGGATCATCTGAAGACTGGGTTCGACAGGACTTGAACCTATGGGTAAATTCTAAAGAGCCCTTCTCTCAAGAGGAGAGTGATTATGCCAAAATATGGGTAGCAAGACCTGAAGTGTATGTTTTCCAATTAAGAGAAGGGAAAGGGGATCCGGACAAAAAGGGGAAGAGGGACAATCATTTGGGCGACTTAATTATAGCACCACCCCCATATGTCCCACCGCTAGCACCCAATGCCCCACCACCTCCACAACCACCTGCACCGAACAATGATGAAGAGGGTAACCAAGGGGAGGTTAACCAAACCGGTTACCAAGGCCCGATTACAAGGAGCCGCAGTAGGGTTGAGACGGGGCTATTCCCTCTACGGGAGATGCCTATGGGTGGACCACAGGCGGGTATAGGATTTATTACTGTCCCCTTGAGTTCGGCAGATGTACGAGACTTTAAGAAGGACATGGGACATTTATTAGAGGACCCTTTTGGGGTAGCCGAGAGGGTCAACCAGTTCTTAGGACCAAACATCTATACCTGGGAAGAAATGCAGTCCATTTTGGGCATTCTGTTCTCTACTGAAGAACGGAATATGATAAGAAGGGAAGGAATGCGTATTTG